AGTCTGAGGAACCCACAGTGAAAGGAGAGCTCTGGCTCATGAGAGTTGTTCTCTAATCTTCACATTCAAGTCATACACACTTACTCTCTCCCCTCTCTCTCTCTTTCATAATAGTAGTAGTAAACTTAAAAAATCAAAGTCCCAAAATCTTACAGTAAACTCCCCCTTACATGAGAAATATCATTAGCATTTAATTTTAAGGAGTAGCAAGCACTTATTTTTATTCAACATTACAAAAGATAACCTAAAAAAACAAATAAAAAAATTGAATGCATGGGCATTTGGAAATGTTAACATTTTTGTATATGATTGCCTATTTTTATAAAACAAGATAATTTACAGATGAATAATTAGAATTCAGTATGAGATTTCAGCTAAGTGATAGATTCCAAACCAACACACACAAAGGAAAGCCAAGTGTCTGTATAGGAATGTTGATGTAACACTGTTGAATTAAATATCTATTAGTCATAACAAATGACACAATACTCTGTCTAAAACAAAAATTCATTATCTCACAGAAGCTGGGATTTAGAATCCAAATGTAGCTAATCTTCTCATCCTGGATCTAAGTTGAAATTTGCAATCAGGGTGCTGGCCAACTTGTAATTATTGAAGACCCATGAGGAGATGGTCTTCCCCCAAGTTCACTCAAGGGTTCACTGGCAGGATTTGGACACTTGCCATCTACTGGATAGATGCCTCCATTGGTCCTTTGCCACATGAGCTTCACAGTGATGATACTAGGAAGCCAGAAAAGATGTGCATGCCAGATCAACACAATGTGGCAGCCATTTTCCCTAAAGATGAAAATCAGCCAACAGATGGAGGCATATCTACAGTAGTATGTCATTTCCTATTTCTTTAAGATAATGAGTCTCCTAAAACTATTTCTTTAATTTTGAGAGATGCAAATATGTGACATGTTTTCTCTTTCATAAGAAAAAAAAATGTTTCTGAAAGAAAATAAATTATTTCACCATCAAACAAAGAACTAAGTAACTGTGCTTAGCACTTGCATTCTGATGACCTGAGAACCTTTGGTAGAACAGGGCTGCTCCTACGGCAAAGGATTTTTTATATTCACCTCTAGTCAGTGGTTACCCAGATATTTGATTTTTAATTCCATTTGTTCAACTGGAATTTTACTTGAAAAAAATACTCAGTCCTTATGTCCTTTATTGGACATAAGAATAGTGAAATTAAACCCAGAGAGATAGGGGATCTAGCAGATTACGTGGGTGCTGATGCGAGTGCGACAAACCAATGCACTTCTTACATTTAATTATATAAAGTTTTTCTATATTTACTGATAGAGAAATGACAACCTACAAGTAAATGTTTTCTTTGTAACTTCTTTTCAGACAGAGTCACAACATGATTCAGACAAGCCTAGAATTTACTAGGTAGCCCAAGTTAGCCACAAATCCTAGTAATCCGAGCCACCAAGCCTGGATTCCATGCAAACAATTTTTGGAAGATCTTTTTGCTAAGGTTAATAAGTTCATATTGAGCAAGAGAAGCTCAAGAGAATCATTGTTATGAAGCCATTTATCTCCATTCTCTTTGGAGGTATCAGTTAGCTGGCCACACCCTTGTAAGGAGAACATTGAGTGAATAGTGCTTTTGGAAGAACAAAAGGCAATAAGGAGCATCACCTACCTCTTTGAAGCTGGCTGGTTCAAGACAAAGATGAGGTTTCTTAAGTAACACTCATTCTCCCAAAAGAAAACTCAAGCTACATAATTCTCTAGGCACCTTATTCTGTGTGTGTATATTTTATGTTCATTATTTAACATCTGCCCTTTTGTATAGCATTCCTATAAAATAGTCATTATTATTTTATACTGAATATAAAAAGGCTCATAAAGTTTACATAACCTGGTGTTTACCTACGAAGAGGTAGAAAGAAGTTTCCAAATTTCTTTATGTATTTTTTAATTTTAAACCTACTTATCTCTTGAGATTAGGTGCAAGATTAATTTCTAGAACTTCCAGTATAGTTTTGGGATTATATTTTATTTGTTAGTACTAGTTCTATTTATTCAGGTAACATTATGGAGGCTGAGAACTCAAACTAATATCTATACTGCATCCTAGAAATACAGAAATTAAAAACATGCAGTTTCTACCTTTGCTAAACTCTATATCTAGTACAAAGAGAAGGATGATGATGATGATAATGATTGTGTGTGTGTGTGTGTGTGTGTGTGTGTGTGTGTGTGTGTGTGTGTGTGTGTTTCTGATGCTACTATAGACTTATATGACTTATATGCAGGAAGCATCCTAGGAAGAGATAAACATCAATCCTTATTGGAAGTTCATATTTTCCCAGATGAAGTATACCTTGTGTTCAGTTTTAAATATATAACTACATAGACAAAATGAGGAGAGCACCAGGTTCCCGGGCACATAGAATCGCAGAATATGGTGCCCTGGGAAGTTGAGAAAGGTCATTGAAGTTGAAGTAGCTCATTTGTAACATGCTAAGCAGCATGTGTATGCCTCCTCTTTAGGGTGTTCTTTGAAGTGGTTAAATAAAGCAGTAACAATATAATTTTAATAAAATTATGCAGCACTGTGAAGAGTGAATTCTTGAACCTGGAGGCAGGTTTAGTTAGAAGAATGCTAGAAAGGTACAGAAACAAATTAAATTAAACAAGCACAAGTAAAGTTAGTAAGAGGGGAGTAAGCATAATTAATGAGAGAGAACTATCCATTCCTGATCACCAAGTATCTTTTACAATTAAGAGAAAGAAGGAACTGGTGGGAGGTACAGCATCTAGTACAATTCAAAATATTTCAAAGCAGCTCATATATACAAGGAATATAGAAGAAAGATGAAGTTCACAAGTAGAGTGAATTTTTTTGGTTCTCACAGAGATCCACCTGTCTCTGCCTCCTGAGCACCAAGATTAAAGCTGTGTGCCACCACCACCCATCTAAGTGACAGTGTGAACAGGTTGATTTTTAGGAAATCTATCAGATGCACAATATATTAGACCATCGAATAGTAAGTCTGAAGCCCAGGAAAAAAAAAGGTATTATAATATTCTACACTATATACTGGGTGTATATTGTCACTCAGAGTATATCTGACCTGACCATTCTGAAATGTGGTCAAGGCTTGTTAATCTTAGCCTTGCTGACTGCTGATATAAAAATTCACTTCTAAACTGGCCAGAAATGTAACCAGCCTATCTGATTATAATTATTACAATACTTGTTATTATTACTGATTATTCAGTCTGGTAGACTTGAACAAGATCCCATGCTCAGTACAGTAATCCTAAAATACACATAAGATTAATCACAGCTTCTCTACTAATTTTCTACTAATTATACACCAGTTATTTGGTCACTACCTGCATTTCAGTAATGTAGTTACAAAATACAAATATCAGAATACAAGCTATTATACATGACCAGGAAAAATAAAACAAATATAAACTTTTCTAAAGTGATCCATAAAAAGAAAAATATTATATACATGCTAATCCAAATATATCCTTCCATCTTCTCACAGTGTTAGTAATGCTATAGACATAAAGGTGCTGAAAATAAAAATATACCTGGTTACAAAGTTTGAGGAAGACAATAGGATAAAATACAGTGTTCTCTAGTGAATTACCCACATCCTATTTGACACTTTTGACCAGTGCCTAAAATAACCATGAATTTCCATAAGCTATCACGAAGCAATTGTGAAATCTCTATCACTGTATCTTGGGGACACTTGTTTTCCTGCGTGTAAAAACGAGATGCCTTGGTGAATAAGTAGAAGCAGACACCACAACTAAACACTGAAGTGAACTGAACTGAACTGAGCAAAGAGGTCCAAACCATTCTGGCAAAACCCACAGAAACAGCTGATCTGAGCAACGGGGGGCGGGGGGGGGGGGGGGGAGACACCAGCATGGGACTGATCCAGACACCATGAACGTGGGAGTCAGTGAGAAGGCCTCTGAAATCTATGGTGCCTCTTGTAGTTGATCAGTACTTATCCCTAGCATAGGAATGGACTTTGGGAGCCCATTCCACACAGAAGGATATTTCCTCAGCCTAGACACACAGGGGACGGTCTAGGCCCTATCCCAAAGTATATGACAGACTATGAAGATTCCCCATGGAAGACCTCACATTCCCTGGGGAGCAGAAAGGGTATGGAATAGGTAGAGTGTTAGTGGGGGGGGGCAGGGGAGGTGGGGAGAGAGAGGGAATGGGGATTGACATGTAAAACAATCTTGTTTCTAATTTAAATAAAAAAATGGAGAAAAAAGAAAGAAACAAGATGCCTTATTCTGTGTGTTCAGTTACTTACCAAGATGTGATTTCACATGCAAGTGCAATGTGTGTCTTCAGAGAAGCTGCTCAAAAAGGCAGAACTCCTGGGAACAGACAGAGTGAACCTTGGAAAGTTGTAGAGGCATCTATGTACACAACTCTGAATTGCTCTGTTCTAAAGGTCAAAGGGAGCCGGTTTGAAAAGTAGTGTTCTTAGTTGTTGCAGCCTGTGTTCACTTTTCTACTTTTTCTCCATTGCTCTCCTTCTGCCTTGCCCTGAGCTGCCCTTGACAGAAATCAAGAATGCAGAAAAGTAGAGGGGCATCACCAGTGAGTTGGTGCAAAGGGCTCTGGAAGGGGCTTCTAGTGCCAGAGCAGCTATGCTCTTTTTGTTCTATAAATACTTAAAACATCATATAATATTTTCTAATGTGTGTGCAATTGCCCAGGGAGGGGTACATGGAGGCCAACCATTAGCATGGACTTCTTCTTTAATGACTCCTGTCTTAGTTACTTTTCTCCATACTGTAACAAAATCTGACAATAGCAAATCAAGGAAAGAAGGGCTTGTTTGGTCTCATAGTTCCAGAAACAGTCAATTGTGGAAGGAAGTTTTGGTTGTGGAAGTGTGAGGCAGCAATTCACATTATGCCCCCAGTCCAGAAGTGGAGAGAGATGAATGTCTGTGTTTGACTAGCTTTCTCCTTTTTTTGCAGCCCAGTGCACAAGCCAGGGAATGATGCTCCAGCCTTTAGAGTGAGTCTTCATATTTTAATCAAGATGATGCCTGACACACATTCCAGAGGATAACATAACCAAGGAAATCCATCCAGGTTGTACTTGGACATTTGCCTCTGAAGTCCTTCCCAATCCTATTAGACTGACAGTCAACACTAACCATCACAGGTCTCCATCTTACTTTTTGAGACACTGAACCCTGAGATTCCTGATTCTTCTAGACTGTATGACCAGCAGACTCCAGGGATCTTCCTATCTCTGCTTCCCCAATGCTGGGATTAAAGGTATCACCAATCTAGGTGTGTGTGTGTGTGTGTGTGTGTGTGTGTGTGTGTGTGTGTGTGATGTATGTGCAGGTGTACCAATGCATACACATGTAGATAAGCCAGAAGAGGATCTTGGGTGTTCTGCTCTATCACACTTCACATTATTCCCTGAAAATAGGGTTTCTCGCTATACCCTGGAAATAGGGTTTATTTGCTGCACCTAGACCCACACTGACAGTCAGCAAGCTCCAACATTCCTCCCTTTCCTGCTTCCTACCTTCTCTTCCGTCCTGTATATTCTGTGTCCTTTTCTGTCTCTGAACAAAAACTGTCAATATGTTTAAGACTCATTCAAACGCAGTACAATGTCAGGTTGGCCCTTGCTGTAATTGCACCTTCAAAAGCCTTATGTACAAATAAAGTTCCCATTCTGAGGTTTCAGGAGAACTTAAACTTAGAGAAATATCTCATCCACTGCAGAAAAAAATTAAGATCAATATGCTTAAGATTTTGAGACTCACCAAAAATAAATAAATTTTGTAGTAGCACCTAGTATTTGCTGCAAAAGAAGCACTCTCAAACTAAGGGTTTTAGAACAGAAAAGTGATTTTTTATGGTATTGTGATCAGTTGGGTGGTTCTTCTAGATTGTCTTGGCTGAGACCAGAAAATACAGCACATGGCCTCACTGGTAAGTGTGTAACTTACCTCTAAGTATTACCTGGTGCTGACTGGATGACTCGGGAAATTTGTCTTAGTTAAGGTTTCATTGCTGTGAAGAGGCACCATGACCATGGCAACTCATAAAGGAAAACATTTCATTGGGGCTGACTTACAGGTAAGAGGTTTAGTCCATTTAGTCATGATGGCAGGAAGCATGGTAGCATGCAGGCAGACATGGTGCTGGAGAAGGAGCTTGTAGGTTCTACAGCCAGATCTGCAGGCAGCAAGAAGAGAAAGGCCCTGGGCCTGGCTTGAGCATTTAAAACCTTAAAGCCATTCCTAGTGGTACACCTACTCCAATAAGGCCAACCCCCAACCTACTCCCCACCCCATCCACCCTCCTCTCCCCAGGCAGGGTAGGGCCCTCAACAGGGGCTCTGCACAGTCCACCACATCTTCCTGGACTGGGCCTAGGCCCTTCCCCATGTGTCCAGGGCAAGAGTGGGATGGGCTCTCAAAGTCCCTTCTTACACCAGGGAAAAATACTAATCCACTACCAGGGGCCCCCTAGAGTGCAGAGACCTCCTCATTGACATACATGTTCAGGGGCCTGGATCAGTCCTGTACTGGCCCCAGACAGCATCTGGGGTCGATGTGCTCAGCCTTGTTCAGGCCAGCTGTTTCTGTGGGTTTCACCAGCCTAGTACCGACCCCTTCACTCTTCATTCCTCCCTCTCTGCAACTAAGTTCCAGAGTTCAGATCAGTGTATATCTGTGGGTGTCTGCCTCTGCTTCCATCAGCCACTGGATGAGGGCTCTAGGATGGCATAAAAAGTAGTCATCAATCTCATTTTAGGGGAAGGGTGTTTAGGTTATCCTCTCCACCATTGCCTGGATTGTCCTTTGAAGACCACATCTCTTAACAGTGCCACTCCCAATGGCTCCCTATGAGCCTCCGGGGGCGGGTGGTCTTTCAAACCACCACAGGCAGCATAACCCAAACTTTACTAATTGTGATGGCTACAAGTTCTCAAGAAGATCAAGAATAAACGTCCCAATGAGTTATACTTCATGGGACTCAGCTTGAACATTTGATAACCTATCACCTAAAGCAAGTCACAGAGTGAAACCTAGAAAAGGAGAATCCAGTACAGAACATGGAATTTGTTAAGACTATTTTTCAAATTACCAATGAGAATACCCAAATAACTAATTAAATGTAAGAGTAGGAATTGGTCCCAAGAATTCTTGACCCTTCTAAGTACTTTCATACAGCAAATTCACTTCTGGTCTCCCGAAAGAAGAGTTGTTTGGGCATCATTTTCTAATTGCTTACTGCCTGTAGTATGTTGAATAGAAGGTTTTTTAAACCTCATATTGTTTCTACGAGGAAGATCTCTAAAAGCCCATGAAGGCACATGACCCCCTTCATTGTAGACTAGGCTAAGCTACAAATTACTTTTATATTTATGGGAAAGGTGTGAATAAAACATCCAAGATTAGATAAAAGAAGTAAACCAGTATGTATGTTTGAAATTCTCAACAAATTTTTAAGTTAAAAGACTTTTTAAGCAAATTGTAGAGCCTCTAAATACAGAGGACAACTGTAATTTTTCAATACCAGAAATAATATCTTTCCGCCTCTCAGAATTCCTAAGAAGAAAACTGCCATCTGAGAGCCTGTGGGAAGTCCCTTGCTTGCTCACACATACGCCCACCATCTCTGGGGCCCTAACACCACCCACCATCTCTGGGGCCCTAACACCACCCACCATCTCTGGGGCCCGAACACCTGTGCCTTTTTACTCTACAGATAGTCCTCACTTATACTTCCTGCTGGGAACAGCAATGCTACAATCTGAGGGCCTGCACATCCTACTGGAAGTCCTCACTTACCACTACTTATTTCTGCAATTCTAACTGGGACTTCTGAGGAACCACAGGAAAGACATACTTGATGTACCAAGTGTTCACTAATGAAGTTAAAGGCTGCAACCTCCTTTAGGGGTTGTATAACAACGACCTCTGTTATACTTCACATGAATCAGGACAGAGCAGGGACTCTGACACCTTCTGGTCTCCACAGGCAACCATGTGAACATTTGTATACAGACACACAGACATGTAAAAATTAACATCTTTAAATTTTTCACAGAGAATTATTTCAGTGAATGTTACAAATAATGTTAAAATACACTCAAAGAGGATCAGAAAAAAGTACTTTCCATGTCATAGCTTATCAGATGTTATATTAGCTGATGGGCTGTGTGCAGATGGTGAAACACGGACAGAAGTAGGTTAAAGTAACTCCAACTGCATGTTCATATTTGCCATATTGAATTTTTATAATAACAAGTTCATACTTCTTCCTCCAGATTTTTCTGGAGCTAATATCTTGCACAATTGTGTAGAAGAAAGAGCAGTGGGGTGAACCCAATATCTGAACCCAGATGTTCCCATCTATTAACCATATGTAAAGAAATCCCTTTTTTTTACAAAAAAAGAAGATCAGATAGAAGCTTTGATACCTCCCTTATTATGTTTTGAAATGGACCTATTTTACATTATAGGTTTAAATTCAAAATTTTAAATTCAGAAAGTGTGTCTGTTTGAGTAAAATGTCCCCTATAAGTCTTGGACATTTGAATACTTGGACCCCAATTGGTAGTTGTCTGGGGAGGAGTAGGAGGTGTGCTGTTGCTGGAGGAGGTATTTCACATGGTAGGGTTGGAAGTTTCAAAAGACTCATGTCATTTTGTGTTAGTTCTCTACTTCCCATTTATAGTCCAAGATATGAGCTCTCAGATACTTATCTGACTACCTGACACCTATTACCTCTACTCTACCATTGTGGACTCTAACCCTCTGAGAGCATAAAGCCAAAATAAACTCTTTAAAGAAAAAAAGAGCCTATCTTTGAAGGCTGGATAGTAAGTGTCATGAGTTTGTGACTAGTGTAGAATACATACTAAGGCCCTGTCTCACTAAAGAGGGAAAAAGCTATCTATCTTCTCACCTCAAGTCATACTCTAGGATCTTATGATAGGAAAAGATTAAAAATTCTTTTTTATATATGTTGTTTCCACCCACTAAGCCTTTTCAAGAAAAGGGCAGAGGAAGTAGCAATATATTGAATCTGAAGTCTGCTACTCCTATAGAACAGGCAGTTTTTCACTGAGGTTATGTTATGGGGAAGAAAGCTAAATATTAGTACTATTTCTTATGTATCCTTTCCAACAAGGCCTACTAAACAGGCATAGTGCTTTCAAATCACACCTCTCTCTCAAGGTAAAAACAAATAAATATAAAATGTACTTGTCTTGTTGAGCATTTTAATACCGTTATCTGGAGGGGATTTTTACTTAGCATGTATGACTGACTAAATAGTTGTTATTGAAATTCTACTCTGCAGAGCACCAGATGGCTAAAACACAGAAATGACACCTGCAGAAGGAATTAAATAAAGAAGGAATGTTCCCTAAAATTTGTCTTCTTGTGGCTGCCAGCTGTGTGAATAGGAACATGCAAAACAAGTATAATCTCCAACGCTAGTTTTCTTAAATACACCATGGGAAGTTGTTAGCACAGTGTCCAAGGAGTCAACAAATATTAAACCAGAAAGAATGGAGGCAGACAACAACATTTGGTTGTGACTTGCAGAATTGTCAGTGCTTGGAAATTAGACACAGATTCTGCCACTTGTAGAGTTGTTTGTAGTACAAGTGTGGCATTGGCCTATAATTATTCAACATTCATTTGGGAGTAGAGAGTGCAGGCACATATGGATGAGATTTGTACAGAAAAGCTAAAGAGTGTGATTAAAATATGGACCTTGTTACTTGTGTATTTTCAAGGACAACTACCTCATTAAAAGAATAGATTCAATAGAATAAATATTTTATATGATTTTGACTGTATACTACAAATCATCAGGATATGTGTTGATAAGATTATTTGTGTTATTTATCTATACTTTGCATTAACTCACACTGCTGTATTTCTCACAGAATTACATAAGTTGTCTGTATTTATTTGTCAAGTCGATGTACTTACTAACATAGTCAACTATCACCTGAATTGCTTTGCCTAATTTCAAACATCTCACGGGGTAAAATAAAAGGCCCTAGTTAACTTTCATACTTAATCATTAAAAGAAAATATTCACTGCATAAAAAATAAACAAAAATGAAGTAAATGGATTTATTTACAGAAGCCTCTTTGAACAAAACTAGACCAAGACTGAACCCGGTAACCAGGTAGAGTTGGAAGATTTTGATTCTTTCCCTCCTCAAACACTGATGGAGCAACAACTCCAAAACAAACTTCCTGTGAAAGAAAGGATAGAGTAGCTGGAGATCTTCTGGGTTCCATAAAAATGGTCAGACTTCATGGACCCAGTGGGTAGATAGAGCACATAGGCAGGAGACCCGGCCTACCACAAAGCCATGAGATCACACAGTGATCCCAGGGTCCAGGCTAAGGGAGCAAAGAAGTTGCCTAAGATGTCTGTCTGTCTTTACAAGGAGGGAAGGGGCTCCGGGAAGGAGCTCCCCAGTGCAGTTATTTGTGTTACCACACTCAGAACTCAAGCCATCTAGAGGAGAAGAAACACAGCAACTTGGGCTGATAGAGAATGTTAATTCTTGCTCAGAACAAATTGAACATACTCATGCATGAACATGTGTGTGTGTGTGTGTGTGTGTGTGTGTGTGTGTGTGCAAATATGTGTTGTGTGTTGAAATTATAGTTTCAAAAATTGTACATCACAGTGTTGCTAGGGGACAGACTTGGGCAATCTTATTCACAGAAAAGAATTTTCATTTAGTTTTCATCCTATGCATCTGACTATTCTGTTCTTTGTCCTTTCTTTCTCCTCATTTTCTGTTTAGTCTTCTTTCCCTATTGTTACTTTACCATGTTGATTACTGGTATTCACTGTATTTGTCTTTCAGTAGAATACCTTATATTACTCTTATGTCTGACTAAAGCCTGGAAGAGCTCAACTGACAGCTGGATGGCATTGAAACACACTGCTCTTCTTTGGCAACTTTTCTTTTAGGCTCAAACGCGTCTTTATTAACCAAAACAGGAACCATTGGAACCAACACATTTTTTTTTTTGCCAATGAGATATAAGCTTGTTCATTTCTGTAGCATAA